GAACTGTTAGGTTGGGCTGGTTTTATACAGATTGTAGTTGTGAAGGTTCGGTTGGGTGTAAGGAGTACTCGTATTCTATCCCCTTAGCTCGTGTTTAGAGGTTTACTTGTTGAGTACCGTGTGGTTTGGTACTCACCCCTTGCTTCTACAAATTTTTGTAGGTTACGAGCCTGGATTTTTGTGGTACTTGTTATTCTCTTCTTTTTCGAGGCTTCTGGGAGATTTGTAAGGTAGTTGTTTGTCTTCTCAGCGATCCTTCTTACTCCTGTTTATGATCTTGTTCTACTCTAGAAACAATGTCATATGAGACTTGTATTTTTCTTTTGATTCAATTGTAATACTTTAAAGGCTTGTGCACGTGACAACCAGATTTTGGGGGTATTTTTGAGTTAATTATGAAATTTCCGCATATTATTGTAATGGGTGAGTGTTAGGCTGACTTGTCTTGGTGGGATAAGACGAGTGCCATCACGTTCATTTTTGGGTCGTGACACAATTTGAAACTTGAGAGTTGGTTCTCGAATCGAGGTTTAGAGTCGGGTCTCGAATTGAGAATCAGGAGTTGGATTTGGAAAACATTTTCCAAAATATTTAAATCTACCAAACATTGAAAAAATTGGAAAACATTTCCTTCCTACTAAAACCTTTCATTTTTTAAAAATTATTATTTCACGTAATTAATAGCCACATCAAACAATCCATACATAACATTAATCACAAACGATTAATGTTTCTCCATTTTCTTATATATATTTCCATCTTAATTATCAATCATAGATCAACCAGTGGAAATTCCAAGATTCTAAAAATGTCTAATTAATACTACTTGAGCAAAAAATATAATAATGAGAAAATGAAATAAAAATGGAAGTTAACATTTCAAAACAGATTTTGCAAATCATATCAATTATTTTCTTTCAGAAAAATTCTTTATTTGACAATATTTATTTATTTTCCCTTCCATTTATGTCTCTCTATATAAAATTGTATATATGTTATTCCTTCCCCCTTAATATAGAGTTGTATTAAATTGAGGGTTTCCATATATAATATAGTTATATTTTTTTTCTATACAACTCTTTAAAATAAAGTTGTAATAACTTTTAATCTTATACTTATCTTTTTCTTGAAAATGTCTTCTTTTTTCTTTAATTTTTTTATTTTTTTCCTAGGAATTATTGAACTTGGAAATGCAAAATTTCTTAGTGATTTTCAGTTTAATGAGCGAAAAAAGAATCCAACAGTGTATGTTGATCCATCTGGACATGGCAATTTTGCAACTATTCAATCAGCCATTGATTCTGTCCCTCAAAATAATCAATATTGGATCTGTATTCTCATCAAACCTGGACAATATAGGTATCATTTTAGTATCTTGGTTAATATGTTTTTTTTTGGATTTAAGTTATATATACTAACAGAAGACATATGAAAAAAAAAAACTTATCACTAAATAACAATATAGGTATTAGTTTAGTATCTTGGTTTTGGTTTATATAGTGTTTTATGGATTTAAGTTATGTATACTAACAGTAATTAAAAAATCAGCTATGAATTTTGTCGCTAGATAATAATATATCAATTTAGTATCTTGGTTTTGGTTTGTATATTGGTTTATAGATTTAACTTATATATATGGTGGCACTAAACAAAAAATTGAAATTAACTATGAACTTTATTGCTAAATAACAATATAGATATCAATTTAGTATCTTGCTTTACATATTCTTCGTAGGATTTAAGTTATATACGCTGACAATTAGCTATGAACTTTGTTGCTAAATAAAACAATGTAAGTATCAATTTAGTATATTGTTATATCTATATTTTTTTGGATTCAAGTTACAATTTTTTTTAATTGAAATCAGCTATGAACTTCGTTGCTAAATAGCTCATAGTTAATAGTTTTTAAATTATAATTCATTCCTTAATTATTACTAAACTGAATCAACAATGAATTTTACTGTTTAACTATACAGAATTTGTTCAGTATTGAAATAGAATGATTATACTAACAATGAAATTCAACCTATTTTTCTTGTTATAGATTTCGACTCTCTAAAAATATTACTACAATCGTATCAATCAATCTTTAAAAATACTATTTTTCAAGGATTCAACACGATCACGACATTTATATAGTTAGATTATACATGATGACATAATATATATATATATATATATATTGTTAGTTTATAAAATTTAAATTATTATTTTAGTAATATGCTATATTATTTTAATATGATTTTTTTGTGATATTATTGTGTGTAGGGAACAAGTGAAAATTCCTAGAGAGAAGCCATATATTTATCTAAAAGGAGATAGAAGTGGAGAAGTTATTGTAACTTGGGATGCTCATGGCTCAATTGCTACTGATGCTACTTTCACTACTGAAGCTCACAATACAATTGTGGAAAGTATCACATTTATAGTAAGTGAAATATAATTTTAATTATATAAAAAAAATTGTATGCCTCATTAGTTCGATCCTTATAATAATGAACTTGTAAAAATAGATTTGTTTATTCAAAAGAGATATCGTTGTTTTTGAACAAGTAAAAGTTATGTCTTGGTCCAATAACTAAACTCCTTTTACTATTACAAAAAGAGAATTTGTATATCTCGAATTTACTTAAATTGTGGAAATATTATAATTTCTTTCGTTTAATTGAAGAAAAGATAATTTTTACATCAACAAGTAAAGAAAAAAAGAAATTATTTAATTTTGTAGTTATGTTACACGGACTTTTCAAAATTATTGTTGGTGTACTCATGTCCGATCCTCAAAAATGCACCATTCACATTCGATAACATTTTTGAATAATTCGAGCTACATAAATTTACACTACTGTTTTTAATTCTTTTTGAAACAGACCAGTATACTAATTTTCTAATATGTTTTTTTAAGCTTTATTGTTGTAAATTATTGACAATAAAGTGGTTTGAATTTATTTATTTATTTAATTAATTAATTATCAGAATTCTTATAATTATCCTCCAAAAAGCAACAAAAATCCAAGGGTGGTGGCAGTGGCAGGCATGATTTCTGGTGACAAATGTGTATTTTACAAGTGTAAATTTCTTGGATTTCAAGACACATTATGGGATGTTGAAGGAAGACATTATTTCAAACTTTGTAACATTGAAGGAGCTGTTGATTTCATCTTTGGTAATGGGCAATCTATTTATGAGGTAAAACTCCCAAATCTTTCTATAATAGTGTCGTTTGTTCAGATAAATTTGACTGTTATAGTGAGTGAATGTTATAGAAATGTCTTATATTACAAGCAAATAAAAAGATAGCTCGGTGTATTTAAACAACTATATATAATATTAGGTACGAGTTACGTTTGGACGAATCCATGAAGTATCATAAATATTTAATTTGTGAACCTAGTAACTAAAATGATCTATGGATATGATGGCGAGTCGAGAACTTATAAGCTTCAAATTTTGCTTCCACCCAACTATGCACGTGGTATCTTACGTTCATGCAGGATCTACGAAAAGGCCGCACCCAAGCGGTCTAATGTTAGCAATCTATCCGGATACAAGCATTAGTGATCATATTTTCATGACTCAAACCCATTGTCATACGAACAAAAGTGGATCAAAGATTAGAAGTTTATGAATTCAACGACCTCAAGTTAATATATAACAATAACTAGTTCACAATCTAATATTTCTAAATATTTTATGCATTTCCTTATATAATATAGGGTCTAAACAAAAATTACCAAACTTTACCGTTGTTTTAAGAATCTCCTCCTATAAACTACACACTATATAGTATATCATTTTAAAATCTTCTTATTTTAATGTTGTGTATATATATGCAGAATTGTACAATATCAGTAAATGCAGGAGCTTTAGATGGATTAATAGGGTATATAACAGCACATGGAAGAGAAAACCCTAATGATACAAGTGGATTTGTGTTCAAGAATTGTAATGTTATTGGAAATGGACAAATTTTCTTGGGTAGACCATGGAGACAATATGCAAGAGTTTTATTCTATGATTCCTCTATGTCTAATGTCATCACTCCTCAAGGTTGGGATGTTGGAGTCTTTGGTGGCAAAGAGTAAGTTCTTTTCCCATTTAATCATCTGGTATTCAAAATTCACTTTCTCGACTAATTTACATTAGTGTCATGAGTTAGGGCGCTACTAAACGTACCGATTTAATCATCTGGTATTTGAAATTCACTTGCTCGACTAATTTACATTAGTGTCATGAGTTAGGGCTACTAAACGTATCGATTTAATCATCTGGTATTTGAAATTCACTTGTTCGATTAATTTACTTTAGTGTCATGAGATAGGGCTACTAAACATATTGATTTAATCATCTGGTATTTGAACTCACTCGCTCGACTATCTTACATTAGTGTCAAGGTCAATTAATTAATTAAGTTTCTTATGCATTAATTTTTGTGTTGATTTTAATTTCATTTTTTTGTTTGTTTATGATTTAGGAAACAATTAACATTTGCTGAGGAAAGATGCAAAGGAATGGGATCAAACACTTCAAAAAGAGTGTTATGGAAAGCAATTTTGAGCCAACATGAGTTACAACAATTAATTAGTCTATCTTTCATTGATGATGAGGATTGGATTACCAAACAACCCTTGAAAGTACTTCAATAATTTAATTTAATTATTAATCTTAGTTTTAATTATAAAAAATAAAAAAAAGTTAATTAGCTTAGCCTAGATTTTATTTTACATACCTATATATTAGTATGTGTTCTACATTCTAGCTATGATCATAATAAATATATTGGAACAAATTAACTTTGGATTTTATTAAGCTACTTTTTTCGCATACAATATGAAAATATTCAATTTCTATGTGCTTAGTTCTTGAATGAAATTATTATTACGTATATTTAGCAAATGATGAACCCCTTTGTGAAAATCATGTGTCCATCTCTAGTCCAAGATTCACAAACATGTTTATCGTTTCACATTATATTAAAACACAACTTGATCGATCTGCAGATAAATTCAAATTGGAATAAAACAATCAAGAAAATTGCCAAAAAGATGCACAAGTTTTGCTTTTTCCAGTCTTGGTTTACTATCACAACATAAATGTTAAAGAGCAAAAGGTAAAATGCCTATGAATATTCCAAGTATAAGAATATACATTCTAGGTTCTCTTCTCATAAGCAAGGATAGGAACATGTGAATGGTGGTTCATTAGCAAAGACGGTCACCGTTCGCTTACAAAATAGCCTTACACCACCACTGAGACTCCTACCCTTCTCGACCACCACGGAGTCTATAAATGATGCGTCCTTTACTGGAATCATAACGACTTACTTCGATTTTGACTCTGTCTCCAGGCAACAACCGTATGAAATTCTTTCGTATCTTCCCAGAAATGTATCCCAGTACCACATCTGCGTTATCCAATTTGACCCTAAACATGCCATTGGGGAGAGACTCGGTAATGGAACCTTCATGAGTCCATTTTTGTTCCTGCGAGAGACATTGAATGCTGGTAGTACGTCTGGAATTGGTGGAATTGTTCTTCTTCTTCGACTGTTGCTGTGTTTTAACCAAAAGTCCCTTGGCTTGTTTCATTAACTCTTCTTGCTTGCTGACAAACACAGAGCGCGGCAGTGCTAATGAGTTGGAGGTTTTACAGGACGTTGGAGATGGAGAACAAGCTGCCATTGCAGGAGCGGGATTCCACCATGACAAAGATGCCATTGTAATGAGAGCTAGTCTATGGTGCACGATCACGACTCAGCAACACAGCAATCTAAAATAGCCAAAACACAACACAGCCACATTAAGATGAGATGATTATGTATGAAAATACAAAATTAGGCAAACGAGTAACTTTCTTTAGTCTTTTTGAGTGATAAAGAAACTTAGAACAACACTACTTTGGCTTTTTCCTTGAGAAACTAAGTTAAAATATGACGACAATATGAATATAAGTCACAAATTAGACAAACGCTGAACTTCTCTAGACCTTCAAACTTCAAAGTGAACTGAAATTTTTTCACTTTCATCGCTTTGGCATTTTCTGAAACAAAATTTGAACAAGTTATCCATGGAACTGTAATAACAAAAATAATATGCCGATTCACCCTTCTATTCATTGCTACTAACATTCTATTAAAACCAAGGATAAAATCGGGAGTTAAATTACATTCTTTCTTTTTCCTCTTTTATTTCTGACTCAAATCATCTCCTTTTCTCCTCTTCTTCTTGTCCTTCTTCAAGTACCTTCAGATCTTCCCGTCAAATCCCAACTGCCATTACAGTTGGTAATCTACCACTCACAAACAAACTAAAAAGTTCTTCTTTTCTTCTATTCCTATTTCAGTCATATATACGTTTTCTTTTGGTTTCCTGCTTCTATGTTCTCTTTTCCTTCTTCTGCTGCTGCTGCTACTTCTCGTTTCCTCCTCCGACTCCTCCTTCCTCATCTAGCTCTATCAGCATTCATCTTATTGTGTCTTCCCACTCCGACAGCTTCAATTCAGCTCATATAGTCCAACCTCCAATCACCATTGCAACCCAAAAGTTCCACCCCCAACCATACTAGTGGTTTGTTAATCTCCCTCCTTTTCAGTTCCCGTCTTCCTTTGTCAAATTTCTACCCCAAACACACATTTGATGGGTACTACTTGGGGAGAGGAAGGAAGAAAGTAAAAGTAAAACATAAAGACAATAAGAAAGGTCCGGAATGAAGAAGCAAAAACAATAGGAAACGAAAACACACTTGAGTATAAATTGGTATTTTACCTTAGTTCAAATGATGTCACTTAAAAAATAACAGAAGTATGAAGCTTGAGACCAAAGACACCACAAAACAGTGTCACTAAGCTAAAATTTCAAAGGCCCCGGCTTAACAAATGTAAAACTATAGAAATCACAACTGAAAGACAGAGGTATCACTGCTGCTCACTTTTTCACCATTATTACCTATTGCAATAAGATTCTTCCTTCTCTCATGCACCATTATCTAGTGTGCGAACGTTATCAGCTCAGCTTGGACTACCACCAGAACTCTCAAAGAAGGTTAAAAAAAGGCAGCTCCTTCGCTTTTCATGTTTGAACTTTTCACCTTCCAAATTTCTAAAGATTTGGAAGCCTACAAAGTATACCTTTGAGTTTTGACTCCTCCTAAAGCCCGAAACTTTTAAAAACTGATATTAACTTCTTTCTTCTTCTTTTTTGGCAAAGAGTTATCAGCTCACCATTGACTTGGAGATTCACCGTCTTCTATTTTTGCATAAATCACTCAAAGGAGCGACCTACTAGTCAATGAAGTGAGTTGAGAACAACGAGGTCTCATGTTCAAATAAAAACACTAGCTCATTTCTTCTCACATATTCTAGCCTTGTTCGGACAGAGTTATCTGATGCCTGTTTTTGGTATCTCGTGGAATTAGTCCAGGTAGACGCAAAAGCTGGCCCAGACAACACGATTATCAAAAATCTACTATTATCAAGTTCTCTAACATACTAATCTTAACTCATAAGATTTCAAAATGCTTAGAATTGACATACTTAATACTTGAAATTATTTGTTCAAATAAAACTCAAATTATCCAAATATCTCAATCTCAGAACGGCAAATTAGTAAAGATACAACAAATTTTACAGAAAGAGGAACTTACAACTCAATTTCACTGGAGAAAAAACTGCCAAATGATAAACGGGAAAGTAGTAGTATCAACTTTGCCGGAGAAGACGAGCGTCAATTCGAAACTTGCAGAAACTTGAGGTCCTTATCAGCAAAACAAAAAATTGGACTCTAAACCACCAATCGCCGTTGGATATACTTTTCCGGCGCCGGCGAGAGAGTGAATTTACAGTAAAATTAGTAGAGCCCTTTATAGTTGGATAAGAGAGGGAGGGACTACAACCCAATGGATTTTTTTTACAAAAAGGATTCTCTTTATCCCTAAAAAATAAAAAATAAAAATATCTATTTTTAAAATAATGGGTTTTAAACTTTATTTTAAAAACTTTATTTTAATCTCAAGAAGCAAAATTTGGATTTATCATAATTAGATTAACTATGGAAATTAAAAATGTCTAATATAAATATTTTATCATATATTTTTTCCATTAAAAGTGACTAAGTTAGTTGAGCAGGTGATCTCTCAAATGAGCGTTTCAGGTTCACACGAAGCTTGCTTAGTGTGATTTAGCTCTCCTATTTGATTTACGAATTATTACACTAGAACGGGATTACCATATGGAAATAGTTTTTTTTTTTTTTATCCTTTGTTGATAGATTAAAAAAAGAAGAAGCTATATGTAATATGGCCATTGCCTTGTTAATCATTCTTTGCACAATGGTTACATGAATTATACTTGTTTAATAGACCAAAATAATTAAAAACAAACTTGATAGTCCGTCTTAAAAAAACATTGTTCAGTGCACAAAGCATTCTAGATTTTTTGGGTAGCCCTCCTTCCATGCCAAGCCATCACGATGGGGTTCCCCTTCCTCGGACCAAGAGGCTTGGACTATGAGCCCGCTTAGCAAACGAGGCACGGGACGGGGTGGATGGTTATGGCGTATTATAGAATGGACTTTGATTTTCCAGGCTCCAAGCTAGAGAGGCGCTATTACATATCAACAACCATGCTAGCTTGAAAAGGATTGAAAGAACTTACATTAGTTCGTGACTTGAGGGTGAGGGGAAGGAGCAGTAAAGAAGTAAGGAGGCGTGAGTGCAGGATTTGAGAAAGTACCGCATCCCAAGGGATGTGATGTAGACAACCTATCCAAATACAAACATTATTGCTTAGCGATTGTTTCCACCGCTCAAATATGTGACTTACATAACCAGCTTGAAAGATGACTACAAAACCAAAACTTAGTAGGAAAAGGAAGAAAAGGGCAAAACACAGATATTAGAAACCAACAGATTCTCACTATTTCCTGTAAATATTGCCATTTGAGGTATATAAATATTACAATCCGTCTCTTCTACCACTCTCAGCTATTGATACTATCGTTAACACGTTTGTAACCAAGAATCACAAACAATCTTGATCTGATCACACAAGCTCTCGGATACTGCTACCTCGATATCATTGCTATAGAAGGACATCGAGAACTCTGTTATCTCCCGCGTCTTCAATTACTGTTTTCCAGAAACTGAACTGAAGGTTGAACAATATGTTTCATCAATTCAAGTCAGACTGAGAAGTGTCCTCTCTACACTTGTGTTACGTGCCTCCTTGAACGCCCTTGCTATAGAAGAGGAAAAAAAGGAATGGTCTATTTGACGTTGTGTGTGGGAACGCTCAAATAAACTTTGGTGTTCTTGAAGTCGTCCAGGAGGGGATTATATCCATCTTTAGTTCTCGTCTTTGTTGGGAGACCAAATTCTTCCATAAATGCTGCTGTGTCGAGCTATAACAAATATTTACATGAATGAATATAAACCAACGAAAAGTACAAAAGGAGAACTTTGGTGTCTCACAGATGAAGGGTAGGAATTACCGAAAGAGTACGTCTTTTCTTTCCCCGCTTCAATGGCTCACCATCTTTTTGCTGCTTCATCCACCCAGAGCAGTAATGATCCATCTGTTCCAAGAGAAAGAAATCTGTTGGAAAGAATATGTCGGCGTCCCCCTGCAAATAAAAATGTATATATATAAGCCATTGCGGCCAAGTACAGATGTTATTACACAACAGATATTCAAAGTTTCACATATTCGGGATCAGGAGCATAATGATTAAAATATCGAATACATAACTCCTACATAAGTTGACAAGAAATTTATTCAGATAACAACCGAATAACTCTATCTGGAAAGGGTCATACTTTCATAGGACAGACAGAGAGGAACACAGAAAGATTAAGGGGATCAAAATCACCTTCACAAGCAAAAGAGTTTTTAACATGTTTTCCCATCAGTCGATAAATTGTGACTACAGTAGAGAAGCGTGAAACGAAAAACAAAGTATTCTCTTTGTTGGAGTGGAAGTCCATCAAGCAAATATCTCGTATAAACAACATTTCATGATTAAATCCAGGGAGGACTACAAAAGATAAGGATCATATCACCTTAGCATCCAAATAACTGTTGTAATCAGAGCTGCTGCCATCTTTCTGCATTTAATATGAAAAGGGTAAATGAATTTTTAAGATGTCGGTTAACTTATTATTATGAAAATGCATAAACTAATAAAGGAAAAGAAAAACACTAAAAGCTATGTTACATGGACTCATTTATGAAGGTATGTGCAGTTTCTTGACTTCTTCTAGTTTTGATAAATTTAAAAGAATCCAGCAAAGTACCCATACCCATGACACATCTATCCAACATGGATAGGATATGCACGAGGCAAATGAAGGATCCATGTAACATTTAGAATTAAAGGAAGTACGAAAATGAGACGAAAGGCCATGTTCCATAGCAATAGATGCAGAGGACGAGTCATCCCTAGTGGATATTCATGGAGATTGAAATAACAGATTCAAGAGAGGATAGGGAAGACATTTCTTTTAATTAGTACTCAAACTTTCCTAGTACTTTCCTTGTAGCTACTTAAAAGAGGAACACACAACAGAGAGTGGGGGGGAGCTGTGTCTGTTGTGAAAGGCTTTTTGTGCTGGTGACCAAAACAAAAGGCCATGATGGTTTCATTACATGAACTTTTTTTCATCTGGGTTTAGTAAGTTCTCTATGGCATCACAGAACTCATCTGAGATCACTTTTTTCCTGAAAAGACGTATCCTCCACAACTTTGTACCTTTTGATGCATATTTATAGATCTTTCATATTTTAACTTTGGACATGGAAAAGTT